ATCACACTGTTCTCTCAATGGCTTGGAATTAACTTCTTAGTCTCTAAAAATGCATTGAGATTGGTATTTTCCAAGTAAAGTGGCCTGGGAGGATTTCATGGCTTTGGTTAACTTAAAAATAAGAATATAAACTAGTAAGCCTGTACTTTAGTGTTCTCTCACTTTAAATAGTTGACAGACAGATTTACGGTTGAAAATCACATTTATTGGTAATGAACCAGTACTGGAAATTATATTGGAGATGAGACACATATTTTTCTATAGGATTATGTAGCTCAAGATTTTTAGCATTGCTATTGATTTATCTACAATATAAAAGCTAAACCATAAAATAAATCCTTTTCTGCCTCTTCTTAGTTTATATTGGGACTAGAGGCCTGGTGCACTTACTTGTGCACCTATGGGGTCCCTCAGTGTGGCCTGTGGAGATCAGGCAAAACCAGCAGTCCAATGCAGCCTGCTGCTCCTGCCTGCTGCTCCTACTCATCCTGGCTCGCCTGCTGCCACTGCTCAGTAGGCTTGCTGCCGCTCCGATGCGGTCTCCAGGCGGCCGTGGCCAGCCATGAGCCCTGTGTCTGGCACCCATTGGTCAGCTGAGTGGTTCTCCCACTGTGGGAGCACACTGAGCACCAGAGAGCAGCTCCTATGGTTCAGTGTGCATCATAGTGACTGGTGGAACAGTGGAACGGTTGACAGGTTGAATGGTTGATTAGGCTTTTACATATATACTAGTAGATAAAGAATAAATCCTATCAACCTTCATGAGTTTCTGGCATTTATGGTCTAAATATTCCATCACAGACACAGATATACAGACATCCTATGAAATAAAAGAGAAACATGCAAATTAACCATCCCTCTGCTATGCTCAAGCCATGCCCACCAGCCAATCAGGAGCGAGTATGCAAATTAACCCTACTAAGATGGCCACGGCCACAGAGCTGGAGCAAGCAGGAGGCTTGGGTTGCCCCTGGCGATGGAGGAAGCCAAGATTCCCACCTTCCATGGCTGGACCTGGGCTCCGCTCAAGGCTACAAAGTTTCAATTATAGAAAAATAAATCCCAGAAAAAAAAGAAAAAAGAAAAAGAAAAGGAGAGGTTGGGAGCTTGGATAACCATGTCCGACTAATGGCTTAGGCCTGCTCCATCAGGTGGACATCTCCCAAGGGCTCCTGGGCTGCCAGAGGGATGTCTGACTGCCAGCTTAGGCCCAACCCCCCCGGGAGCAGGCCTAAGCCAGCAGGTGGACATCCCCTGAGGGGACCCAGAATGCGAGAGGGAACAGGTCGGCCTGAGGGACCCCCCCCCTCCCGAGTGCACAAATTTTTGTGCACTGGGCCTCTAGTAAGTATATATTTGAATACACATAGAACCGAAAACAGCACTTATTTTTGCCAAGGATGTACGTGTCTTTTGAAAAAAAAATGTACCTAGGAGGGAAATTGTTTTGAGTCGATCAAGTATATTTTGCAAGTGAAAGTCCTTTAAAAATAAAGAGATAAATTAATCTAGGCTGAGGGGGGCGGAAACAAAACTGGGCAGTGAATGAACAACTTGGTAAAATCACGCTTCACACTGGTAATGGCACGTGCTTTGGAGTCGGAGCTGTCTAGCTCTCCTATCAGCTGTGACACTTTGGTGAATTTATTCAACATCTCCAAGTCTCCATGTCTTCATCTTTAAAATTGGATAACTCTTATTTGATATGCTTCTTATAAAGATTAAATGAATGTTATAAAAATGTAGTTCAGAATTTTACAGTAATATATTTTCAAAATTGGTACCCATTAGATTTATCCAGTCAAAATTAATTTAACAAATATTTATTGAGGTCTATTGTGTGCCAGACACTATGTGCTCAGTATTCAGAAATAAACTGGTGAGCAAAAAAGCAAACATGGCCTGTCTTTTTTGAAAAAGGCCAGGTTGGAGAGAAGCACAGTGCTAACACTCTCAGAGATTCCCAGTTTACTGAGGGACGTAGTCAATCTCACAGATGAGTTTAAAATTATGACTGTGGGAAGTACATGACACTCTGAAAGCATGGAACAGAGAAGATACATTAGTTCAAGGGCAAAACAATTCCCTTAAGAAAGTGATGATTCCACTGAAATATGAAGGAAAAGTAGGAATCAAATAAGGAAAGAGAGGACAGCAGGATTTTGCAGACAGCATTTCCAAAGCCAGGTGGGAAGGGCACACTGGAAGCTGCAAAGCCACTGTCCTAGGACTGCTGGGCGTGTGGGGGGGACAGGAGCAGAGGTGAGGCTGCCCTGGGAAGGGCTGTTTGTGAAAAAAAACTATGTATATTCTTGTCTTTATAAGGGTATTGCAAATATGAAAAGTTAAAAAAAAAAAAGGTCGTTTTGACTACTAGAGCAACACAATTGAGAATATATTCAGGGAGGGAGGGAGGGAGAGAAAGAGGGAGGGAGGAAGCTTTAGAACAATTGATTTCCTGAAAGTATTTATCTTAATCAGAGTGTGTCTCAGACTGAAACAGATGAAGGCAGAAAACAGTACAGTACATGAAGTAAAATGAACAAAGGGTTATGACTGGATAGGTTTTGAGATCAGAGTTACAATACCATATAAATAAATGGGCTGAAAGAATGTACTTTAGAATGAATTTCATAAAATGAGCTATAAAGCATCTTACATTTCTGCCATTACAGACTTCTTCAGCATTTCCATTTAAGTTCCATATTAAGCATTCAAATTATCATTTATACATCTGGCATAAATCAAAACTGAATAGTTTGTTTAAAGGATTTTTGATTGGTGTTGCTATTCAAGCAAATGGGTTGATTCATATTATAACTTGCTTCTGGTGGATTAAAAACAATATTGTAATTTTGGTGTGAATGAAAATGAGGATCTCAGCCTGAAGAAGCTGAAAGTATTTATATATCACTCAAAAAGTTCTTTAATGTAGAAACTCAGGCTTAACGATAGGTACCTAAATATGTGCGAGAAATGTTTAATCATACTTAACAAATTTTCACCTTAGCTAGGTGCCATTAACACCCCTAATATCTTCAAGTTTAGAGAATATCTTTAACACACTGGCTTTCATAATAGAAAAAAAAAAGAAATAGAGTCTTTCCACATCATTGCAATTCTGCATAATCCAACAAAGCACTGAGAGGAGAGGATGAGGTTGAAACTAGAAATTATTATTTGGGCAATTCTCAAGATTGCCATAATTGTCTGATGGCAATGAAACAGCATAAAGTTTGAGTTTTTGAAAAATCATTCTGACTAGGGGGTAAAAGTTGGATTGGATGGGAAGATGACAAGATAGAGAATAATTAGGAAGTTGCTACATTAAACCAGATGAGAGATAACAGTGGTCTGGGGAGATAATCACAGCCTGAAATATGGTAGGGACCATAGAGATGGAGAAAAGTGAATGGAATCCAGAAACATTGAGGAATTAGAAGGAGCTGTGGGAATTAATTGGACATGTGTGATAAAGGGACAGAGTCCAGGGTAACTCTAAAGTGTAAGGCCCTGGGCACCTGGGAAGATAGTAGTGAAGTGATTGGGGCAGGAAATACAAGAAAACAAAGCGGCGGAGGCCGGGATGTGCATCACAGTGGAAGGTTCTGTTTCAGACATCCTGCTTTTGATCTGCTGACGAGACAGCTGTGTGGACATGTCAGGTCAGCTGATACAAATACAAGTTCAGATGAGAGGTCTGGTATAAAAATAAAGATTTAGGCATCAACATGGGAGTGAGTCCACTGACTCAGGTTCATGTTTAAAATAGAAAGAGAGATAGACTAACTGTTGAGAAGCCACCATTCGTTCCCTGTTTTTAACTATGTGAAAGGTTTACGATCTCGTCTTGAATAGGAACTGATATAAAGTACCACTCAATTTCTCTAATTTCCCAGATTCTATTTATTTCAACAGATGAAATAACTATACAAAAAGATGTTTTTACTGAGTTAACAGAATTAATTAGATCATATACATTTACTGGATCATTAATTAAATTCTAATAACTTACTATTACAACTGGTAATATGGTAGCATTCACATTTCCTACAGTGTGAGAATTCTCAAAAAGACTTTAACCACAATTTTCTATTGATATCTTATGCAAAGTAATTGCTATTTAAAGGGCAAAAAATCTCTTTCTGGACATATATGTCAAGTGCAACAGAAAAATCTTTAATTATATGATATATTACAGATGTAGTATTTTTGTTTACTTTTAAACTAGTCTTTCACCGAATCTAAATTATATTTTTCATTCTTTTTCTGTATTCCAAAAGTGCTGTCTTCTTCAAGACCAGTCTTTCATTTCTTGCAAGAAAGTAACTCAGTAAGAGCCATAGTATGAATTTTAAATATATCAATAAAATAAAACTCTCCAGTTCAAAAAGTTAATATTTGTAACTAAGTGTTATACTACTCATGGAATTTTTTTTAATTTAAAGACTCTATTTACAAAAATATGATTGCAATGAAACTTCTTTAACAGCATTCAAAGAACTACAATTATTTTAACATCTCAATTATTTGCCATGAACATAATAGGGTTTTAAGCATCTTTGGTTGTGTAGGTACAATTTTATTAGGTATATACTCATGTTATCAAAATAACTCAGCTAATAACTTTGAGGAGAGCATAATTTATGTTGAAATTGGTCCAAACAGAACATTTGCAAAATGGAATGAGTCCAATATCTTTAGCTTTCTTATCAGAGGGGTTCCATTTAGATGAAATTATACTGTTTCATGAATGAGTCCATTGAAAAGGAATTTCAAAAAAGACTACAGTGTTCTGTGAACACATTAGAGCTATGTACCTGTGCAAATATTGCTTACAAATAACCACAAATTTTTTTTAAAATGCCACAAAATTATTTTCTAATTGGTTTAATTTCTAGTGAAGACAAACTCACTCCAACATAGGAATAATACATGTTCAAAATATATAATAATTAATATTAATTAATTAAATCACTAAATGCATTACATTGCATGCTTATTGGTTGTCCTAATGGTATCTATATATAGAAAGCAGGGACAACTTAAATGAGAAGTCAAATGATGGTTTACATTTCCATAATTCTGAGAACTTCAACCTTTGATTCTGAGTTGAAGCAACTTTTCACTAAACGTGCATTTGGTTTTAAGAAAAATCAGCTAGCTGAGCATTAAGAATTTCCCCGTCATTTTCCAAAACACTAGTTATATGGCAAATTTCCGTTTACTTCCTTGAAGTCCTACAATTCGGTGGTAACAATTACCTGCAGCATTTCCTAGTGGATTTAATCTATAGGAAGATTCATTAAAACAGACACACACACAAAATACAATAAAGGAGAGAGAGCCTGTGGCTCCCTAGGGAAATTGGTGTTTGGTCATCTTTTCATCAGAGGAGGGGAGAGCAGTTAATTATACATCATCCCCAACCTACTCCCCAGTGTGATTTGAAAGTCAATTTATTTAGCCACCACCTTTTAGCGATGCTGACAACGCCAGTTCCTTGTTCAGGTTTCCTTCACTCTGGGAAACTGTCACGAGCATTTCCGTAATTCCACCTTCCAGCCATACAACTGTATGTGAAATGCTTCGTTGTCCTATCTTCCAATAGGTGTGTTTTCACCTCGGCTCTGCCAATGCGTTTTCCGTGAATGACACCAAAGAGCATCCATTCAGATGCTCTTTTTCTTCTTAAAAATGGGAAATCAGGATGCACCTGGGCGCCGTCCCCACCCAGATTTATAGCTCTGGGCAGAATTCATCCACACATTTTCACACCACAGCTTCCTCAGACATTGGTTGCCTCTGTGAATGAGCCATTGGGGCCATATTTCCTCTTTACTTCCAGGTTCTTTTTAGCCTTGAATGACACGAACACTTCTGAGTGAATGGTGTCCAACCTGGGCTCACAGCGGAAGGCGGAGAGGAATGCCTTTCTGTAGTTGCTGTTCATCCAGCCATAGAAAAGGGGGTTGGCAAAGGTGGAGCACATGGCAATGATGTGGAGCACGGTGAAGATGAGCTTGTACTCCCTCAAGTTCAGGATTTGGTTGTCAATGTCCACAGCGAGTTGGAAGGCATGGAGAGGCAACCAGCTGACCGCGAACACCACCACCACGCACACCAGCATTTTGGTGGTCTTTTGCCTTCGCTGATGGTAGTGATCATTAGCAGCTCCAGGGCTGACATGGTTCTTAAGTTTACTCCAGATACGCGCGTAGGAAAAAGATATGATGCTTAGAGGCAAAACATACAGGATCAGTAAGGAGGAAAGACTGTAGACAGTGCCATACACGCTCTTCTCACCCGGCCACTTCTCCGTACAGGCCACAATGGAGAAGTCAGGGATAATCTCAATCAGTGAGTACTCACGGAAGATGGCCAGGGGGCTTGCTAGCAGGGCACTGACGCCCCAGGCCAAGCCAATGATCAGGAAGCTGATTCGCTTGGAGATCTTGCTCTCCAGGTGATAGACGATGCAACGATGCCGGTTCAGAGCAATTACTGTCAAGGTGATCGTGGACACTTGTACTGCCAGGCCCTGGGCATAGGGTACCAAGTGGCAGAGGACAGGACCCATTTTCCACTCCCCCATTAAGGTGTAGGTAAGAGTGAATGGCAAGCACAGGGTGTTCACCAGAAGGTCTGCCACAGCCAGATTGGCGATGAAAAAGTTGGTTACTGTGTGCATGCTCTTGAATTTGATTACCACATGGATCACCAAGGAGTTGCCAATCACCCCAAGCAAGATGATGAAGCAATAAGCCAAGATGAGGACAATCTGCACCTCCATCAGCTTGGTGCTGTCTCTAAGCTCTGGCTTAGGGTCAGGGGCCAGCTCACCTCTAGGAGTGGTCTGCCCTGGGTCATACTGCTCCATTTCTTCCACTGTCTGGTTCTCCTCAGTCTCTGCACCTATTGGGCCCATTTTCAGGAACTAGCACAAGAATCTACAATTAAAAAAAAAAAAGAACAACTATGAAGCAAGGGTGAGACAAAGGAATATCCTAAAAGGATTGATTTCATTGTGGTGGGGGCTCAAAATGCCTGTCCTCTGATATCTCAAGTTGCACATAGTGTAATCTTTTCATAAAACAGGCCCTTTAATGTGTCTATTCTTTGTCTAAGTCTAAATATGGATGAATTAAATCAGGTCCTTGACATGTATGTTACAATGGTAAAATGTAATACCTATGTATAAATGTAATTCCTATGTGAATGCCACTAAACCGATTCAACCCATTTTATGAGATGAACACTAGAAACTTTATCAATTAATTTTATAACTTCTATTAATTCATCAAATTAATTTTAAATTAGAAAAAGTGTCCTTCAATATCTTGACTGTTCTAAATTTATAAATATAGCAACAAACTACACAGAAAAGAGACAAATTTTGAAACCTTTGGCCTGGTGCCTGAACTTTGGGAGTATAAAATATTTAGGGTAAAGTGAGTGGATTCTCTTTTTTTGTCACTATTCCTAGTGTAGGGGTTAGTGTTAAAAACAGGTAACCTGTTCAAAGCAGTTGGATTTTTTTTTCATGTTCTAAAATAAACATTCTACCTGATATACAGCAGAGTCCTACATAGGAACTATGCAAAAACTATGTCTAAATCTGAACTACATCTCTCTCTAACCCCTAAAAATTAAGGTTTTCACACTTCGCTTCCCCAATAGCAGCCCCCCAATCCCAGGCTTTTTCTTCTGCATGCCCAACTTCAGTCAACACTCTCTCCATCCATTAAGCCAAGTAAACTTCAAAAGCAAGTTACCATTCTAGACTTCTTCATCTCCTTTAGCCCCCACATTTAAGAAACCCTCAGACTGATCTCTCACTTATCTTTCCCAGGGGTCCTCTTATCATTGCTACCCTTGATCTCTTACCATAATTACTCTAGTAGTCTTCTATCTTATCTCCCTCTTCACCTTCTTCCTTCCTCCCTCCCTCCTTTCCTTCTTTCCTTCCTTCCTCATTCATTCATTCACTTAACAAATATAATTGAGCATCTTCTATAACAGTGATTCTCAACCTGTGGGTCGCGACCCCTTTGGCAGTCGAACAACCCTTTCACAGGGGTTGCCTAAGACCATCCTGCATATCAGATATTTACATGACGATTCATAACAGTAGCAACATTACAGTTATGAAGTAGCAACTAAAATAATTTTATGGTTGGGTCACAACCTGAGGAACTGTATTTAAAGGGCCAGAAGGTTGAGAACCACTGTTCTAAATGCCAGGCATAGCTCCATCCTTGCATTGAGCAAGCATTTAAAATCTTATGTCAGGAATAAGAATTTGTGTTGGGGGAAAAGACAGCAGGATAGGACCTCTATTCTAGGCTCCTACATTTTACTGGATAATAAAATGGGGTTTCTGAAATTCAAACGTGATCATATTACTTCCCATATGTCCCCAGATTTCTTAAAAGAATATAATATATTGGTTATTAATAATAGTTCCCCTTTCGAGTCTATAAAAACACTCAGATCCCAACTTCATAGTAGTGGTACCTATTGAATATATTCATAATGAAAAAAAGGCTCCCACCATTAATTTAGAACCTCCTTTAAATGAATTTGTTTTGTATTCATCATAACAGCATCTACCTACATTGGTGAGTTATATTTAGTCACCTCACAGACCATGGCTGGCTGGGCCTCAGTGCCCCAGCCCCATATCCCACCCTTCCTCTGGATGGCTGACTGCTGTAGGCTGTACTTTCAGGCTCACGATTCATCAGAATGAATGGCCAATGGGAACTGCTGGCAGGTAATTAGAGGGCAGGAGGAAGGCAGAAGCCGCTGTACTCTTCTCCCTCCCTCTCTCTTCCCACCAGAGCCTCAGCAGCCCATCCATGGCTTTGGTTGGCACAGGATGGTCCCATAGTAACTCTGTTGCCATTGGATGGTCCTGGTCCCTGGGGTTCAGTCACACTGCCTCCTCCCCATGTCCATGTGCCTGGAGGTAGTAATGACTCCTTGCTCTTGCTAATCCCTGGGCGGCCTCAACATCCCCTGTTTGGCCTTCATTACTTATATAACCAATTCGCTGCCTGTAATTCCTTCTCTTTTGCTTCTTGAATAGCTTCTGTTTCACTAGATCTGCTGCTTTCATTGATGTGCTCTCCCACTAAAGGTTCTGCACGCATAAGTTGGTAACACTGGCATGGGAAGAAAATCCCAACGCCATTGTATGACATTCAAAGCTTTCCTTGGACTCATCCCAGCCTACCCTCTGGCTTCATCTCTCCTGACATCCCAGTATATACTCGTGCTTCCATTGCACTGAACTCCTCCCAATTCCAGCAGCACATCAGCCTTTCTCTCGTCTCTCTGCCCTCCCTGCCCGGAAGTGGGAAGTCTCTCGTTCCCCGGACAACCTGTGCTCACTTCTAACCCTGAAGCTCTGCGTGTCACATTGCAAGTGTTTCCCTCCCATCAGCCCACACGGCAACCTCTGGGAGACAGAAACTGGGTCATATCCACCCCTTGTTTAATTCTTAGCACCCCATCCAACACATTAGAGGTGGCAAAACAAATATGAAGCTAAAGGAAAACATAATCTTGCTGAATAATTGAGAGCAGCAAAATACCAAGTAATTTTGATCCTTTCCTTTACTGACTGTAATTGCCTGTACAGAACTCCTTGTTCTGATATGCCATCCTGGTAAATATTTTCTTGTTCTTGGTCAGGCAACCACTTCTAGAAGAAAGCTGTCCCAAGATGCCAAGATCCCTCTTAAACCAATCCCTGATTCGAACATTAAAAAATTGTCAGTTGGTATACCCAGAAGGAAACTTTCTATCTCAAGAGCTTAACACACACACACACACACACACACACACACACACGCACACACACACACACACACTAATAGGAGCCGTAATGCAGAGAGAGAGAGATGTCCATGTACTCACATATTTGCTTTACTAATATATTCAAGTTCTCTTCGTATACATTTTAAATGGACTGTTCCAAGAAGCCCGGGCCCTCATTTGCATGTGCCTCCCCTCTTTAGTAATTAGGGAAAATGGGAACTAACCAGCCAAACCTTGGCGTGTGTATTTGATAGCCTGTGCCATTTCCCTTAGACTAAGAGAGACTTTACACAGAGGGTTAGTCAATCCTGACAATTCATTAACAGAACTAACAAGACTCCAAGAGGTCTGAGTTAGAGGTTTGCAGCAAACTAAATTGAGAGTGAGCCTGAGATAGAAGGATATTAGGACCATATTTCATTTATTAACCTCTTTTCCTTTATAGTCCCATTTTCTTTATTTCAAAGCCCCTTTATTTAAAGCTTCTCTGCAGGAACAGTTAATGATCTACAAGCTATTAGTATATGGGTGCTGGACTTCAGCCAGGTCAGAGCTCACCTGGGAATGTATTACCTCATGAGCACACTTGTGGAAAAGCACAAGAGGAGAGAGAGAGAGAGAGAGAGAGAGACAGAGAGAGAGACAGAGAGAGAGACAGAGAGAGAGAGCTGCCAGGTTAAAAACTCAGGAGCACAAAAATTAAAAGACAAGTAGACAAGGGAAAACCCTTTCCTTGAAATACACGATTCTCATTGTTCAAGACACTTAAGGAAAACTGAATATTTACCTTAAAGTGACTCTTTAGAAATTCTGTTATAGTGATATTTCTTTATAGAGCAAGAAAATAGCTTCAAGATCCCCCCCGCCCCCCTGCCCCCGCCCCGGAGATTCAAAGAACTTTATCTCAGTGAGAAACCAGGCTATGCTTTAACTATACATTTAAATGTGTGGAACTTTTAACAATGGTATGCTTATTGTCACAGGTTGGCCTTGATAAAACTCACCACCTTATCAATCACAAAACCTTCCAGGAATTTTTCCCAAAAGAAAAGCCCCCAAACCATGGCAAGCGCCTTATACTTGCCGGTCCCAGGAGAGAGAGGAGTGCACATTCAAGAATGCTACACACAAGACATGGCTGTTCGCCTGATCAGCAAAAAGTTGAAAACATTTGCCAAAGGGCTTGAATATCTCTCTTCCAATTGAGTTTGTGGTTTTTCTTTGAAAACAGCATTGTCTGTTTCATGTTACTAAGTTTAAATAATGTGTTCCTCTGGCAAAAAAAAAAAGTCTTAAGGCTCTTACTTTTGCCTCCTTCTCCTCCATCCACCATATGCTCCTCCCAGTGAGTGAAGCCGGCGTGGAAAACCAGTGAGTGCTTAAATAAATGTGTTTGTTCTTGAACAGCTTGGGAGTATCCAATACGACCTTCCCCTTTAGACAGGGGTTTCATTTTAAAGAGAAGAGGCAAGAACAAACGCCCTAGCTGGTTTAGCTCAGTGGATGGAGCGTTGGCCTGCGGACTGAAGGGTCCCGGGTTCGATTCCAGTCAAGGGCACATGCCTGGGTTTCGGGCTCGATCCCCAGTAGGGGGCGGGCAGGAGGCAGCCCATCAATGATTCTCTCTCATCATTGATGTTTCCATCTCTCTCTCCCTCTCCCTTCCTCTCTGAAATCAATAGAAGTATATTTAAAGCGAGTGGATGGAGCGTTGGCCTGCGGACTGAAGGGTCCCGGGTTCGATTCCAGTCAAGGGCACATGCCTGGGTTTCGGGCTCGATCCCCAGTAGGGGGCGGGCAGGAGGCAGCCAATCAATGATTCTCTCTCATCATTGATGTTTCCATCTCTCTCTCCCTCTCCTTTCCTCTCTGAAATCAATAAAAGTATATTTAAAGCAAAAAAGAGGCAAGAACAATAACAGCTTGCTATTCTGGAAGGAAGAGTCAAGGAAAAGGAAATGGTCGAGCATCTTGCGAAGATAGCAGTTGGGGATGGCATCACCTTTGGCCTAACCGAGGGGAAAGCTCCTACACTCTTGAGGCCCTCCCCGCATGCCCCTTCATAGCACCGAGCGCCTCTTCGTGGGATATTGTCCCCGGAAGGCGAATCAGAGTTAGGACTTACACTCACTGGCCCGGCCGTCGAGTTTCTTTCTGCTTAGAAGCACAAGCAAGACGCCTGACCGAAGGCACTGCCAGGTCCCCGAAGGCAAGTCCAGCTCCGTCCGTCCTGACCTCGCAGGGCAGGCGCCCCTCCGTCCGGGTGGCCGGGAGGCTGGGTCCTCC